GAGTTTCATTACCTTTTCAAAATGTGGTTTGTGTATGCATAAGTAGCCAAAAATTTATATCTTGAAGGTTTATTAGAATTATTATATATTGGATTTTTAATCCTAGCTAATTAAGATCAATAAACATAATGTTGATATAAATATACATATTATTATAAGTTTGGAAACAAGTAAATGAAAAAATTTTTTCTATTACAAAAAATAGGGTTGTCAAAAACTGAAAGAAACAGAGGGGTTGATTTTAATCATTATAATAATTATTCAATTAGTCACAAGAGAAGCTAAATAATAAAAAATAATTATTCATCAAATTAATAAAAAAATTTCATCCCTACTCTGCAGAATTTAATAAAGGAGTATTATTGCTTTAACACAATAAACTTTAGTGAGAGAATATCAGAACCCAACTGCTTAGTTGCAGCTTACAGAAGTGTGGCGAGCTGAATAACAATTCCTAAGAATGACATCGGATAAAAGTTTGAATAAAGTGTTTAATACTAAAGACAAGCATCCATGCTTTTACTCAAAAGCCCAAACTAAATAAGTAATAATTTTATGGTAATGAATCATAGATTAAAGAATGCAATAGCAAACTAATAATTCAAAGTTTAGAATTTGTGATTCTGATGACAGTATTTTATTCATTCTATACTAGCTGAATATTCTGATTTTTAGTTATCACAATAATTCATTTACATCATACTGATAGCAATGTAATACAGCAATCACTAGGTACAGGGGCATAATAATTATTAATTAAATTAAATTTTAATTTATATTGTAGTCTGAATATTAGCATTTTCTGCAAAGTCAGGTTGAAATTTTGTATTACTTTTATGAATGATTATTTTTTACTAATCAACTTTTCTCATTATTAATTGAACAAATAATTATTATTATGATTGACCCTTGTTTCTTTCATTTTTTGACAACCCTACTTTTTTAATTAAAGAATTTTTTTTTACTTGCTAATAATAATAACAATGATCATAATTAATTATATGTGACCAAAATTGACAAAAGGTACCTTATGGCGGATAGGAAAATTGGTCCTTATAGCCCAAAAAATCCAACTTCCTGAGCTCCATTTATCATAAAATTCCTCCAGAGGATGCAAAAAGTTACTATGTAGCTTATAAAAACAATTGTTGACTAACAGAGCACTCATAGGTTGATATTTTTCATTTTAAAGATGAATTTTAAAATCCGCCATAAGGTACCTTTTGTGAATTATGGTCACATATTTCATAATTTCTACATCTTCCTGAACACAAACTGATACAGACCGATCTTTGGTTAATTAGCGTGTGTGAATAGTAACACCCACTCGTCGGCATACAATTACAGGATTGATAGACATACTAATTGTTTGAACTCTATTATTAATTTCTTATTATTATTTGTGTGATTATTATTATTTAATACTTCAGCTTTCTTTTCCTTTCAAAGTCCTCAATGCTCTTTCACCGAGTCTTATTCATAATTGGGCCCATGTCAATACACTTAACCAGTGAATCCCTAAGCCATTCTCTCCTTCAATTAGCACCTATCTTATCAGCAACATCCTCCTGGACTAGGAGCCAAGAACAAGCACTGCAAACCTACAAGACATGGAGCAATCTAATTACACATAGTTATGTACTGTACATGTATTTAGTATTGATTTAAGGAGTGATTGGTGAACACTTATAAAGTCCCTATGATAGTAGCACAATTATAATCTTTTCATGTATTTATGCATAAATTAAAGTTCTTACTTATCTCTCTTTTTGAAGAAGTCCTTGATCAATCATTTTGTTGTTTTAGTCATGTTTTGTCCTTCATGATTTGTTTTCATGTAATTAAAAGTAATTGATACATCAATGGCCAGGGAGCATAGATGAGGCAGTGGCTTATAATAGCCCCAAACCTTCAGCATTGTAGAGCAAGCTAAGCAGGTTTCATCATAGATATTAGAGTTGTTTTAAATTGGCTACTTTAAGAAGAAGAATATAAGTCCTTACTACAGAAGTCATGGGTTCCAACTATAGGTGCCTTTACCATTGATACTATTGGGTGTATACAATCACTGGACTTGAAAGGTGGAGTGAAATAGTGGAATGTTTCATAAATTTGATACTATATTAGTACAAAAGAATTATTATAGTTACTAGTAGTAAAAGTAGAAATAGTAAGAAACCATAACATTACATGTTAAGTGACTCGGAGCGAGGTCCAGGAACAGAAAGTGCTATTTCTGGTAAATCCGCACACAATAAAAAATGGAAAATTATGGAGAGATTTATATGCTGGGTGTGTTTCCTGTTATTACACATAATTTTACGGTGTAGAGGATTTGCAGTTGACGGATGTTGATAACGTTCGAGACATACATGCCCTTCATTTTGTATTTATTCCTATAATGCAACTACATTTGGACCTTATTTGAAAAAGTTGGGCTCACCATTCTCTATGTACAGACCATAATTGCACGCCACTGCAACTCTGGCTATCAAGTCTTAATGAGCAACAGGACATGTAAGGTATAGCTGGTTTGATGGTGAGCAAATGTTATGCTTTATTATTCTTTTATAATGTCTACTTTTAATTAAATTTTAATTCTACTTGAGTGCCTGATTACTAAAAGGTGAGCCTAAGCAAGCAAAGCATTTATACTGGCACCAGCATATATAATGTACATATACTTGATTTCAATACTCGAGTAACTAATGCACAGTCTCTTAGAAAGAATTAACATACCCAAACCTCATACATGTAGCTCACTAGTCCTCTTCTTTAAGTATCCTTGGCTGTTATTGCCAAATCATACAATATTCTGACCTCATCCAGTGTGGTGAAATTTAGGTCAAGTCCCTGCACTATATAGTACAGGTTCTAGGTTATGTTGTTATAGTTAATGATACCATACTTCTTTATCTTCTAGGCAAGGTGGGATGACTATGGCAATGATTTTGAGGGTCCAGTTTTCTACGATGGTGATGATGATGCTCATGTCACAGTAAAAAGCCTCCTGAGTGCAACTGAAAGCCAGGAGCTCATAGCTAAAGCAATTCTAACAGAGATCGCTTTTCTCAAGTTGAAATAATTAGCAAATTTATTGTTGCTTAGAGTTTTGTGTAATGCATGCAATACTGCTAAAGCTTACTATAAACTTTGTTTTTATTATCAAGAAATAAAATGATCAAAATGATGAGAATAGTGAACTATAGTGTCATGCTAGAATGACTGGCAATTACAACTGACACTGTTACCAACTGAAGATTTTGGTGTTATCAACAAACAAATAATGATCAAACTAATGAGAAGAGTGAATTTTTGTACAAGCATGACTAGTAACAAAAATTGATACTGTTACCAGTAATATCAGATGTGTAAACACTATAGGTTTATATGCAACACAAAAGTAAATGTCATACCAAATGTGACCCGATATGAGAAAACCAGGCTATCTGCGGGATTTTGGTAAAATCAGTTTTTGGTACATACAGATAGAGAAAAAAATTTCCTTTCCAGCGATATCCCATTTATGACAATGCGCAATAAAACTTTGCAGTTAGGGACGCTGTTTGGACGATTGCTCTGGAATACAAGTACAGATAAAAAGGCATTTAAAGTTATTTTCAATGTTTCCGTGTCACGCCCATTCACGTAGAAAATGTGACCACGCCCACCACGTAAACCACATCCAAATCAATTAATAAACGTGTTAAGAAGAAAGAAGCACTTGACAGCATTTTAACTTACTTTTCTTGCTTTTTGGACATCTTAAGAGTGATCTAAAGCCCAGCCATGCATTAAGACCTCAAATACAAGTAAGTTATTTCACTACAAAAGTTGTAGAGTTATTGCTATGTGTTCTAGTGCCAATAAAGTCCTTTTTGTGAACTGTAATAACATCATCTGGGTCATTTACATCCAGACATCGCTTCTGCTTGAGTTTACAGGTAATATTTTTATTTCGATTTTATTTAGAACTATAATTAAGGTTCCTACATTTAACATTAAAATAATTTATAGTTTTAGCACTTGCTGATGAATCCTATAAAAGATTATTGTTATTCTTATGTTTCATTATGTTCCTTTCCTTACTGTTGGATGAGGGGCTCCTCCTGTTTCTCCTTGGCCTCCCCCACTACCTCCTTGGCCTCCCCCTCTACCTCCTTGGCCTCCCCCTCTACCTCCTTGGCCTCCTCCCCTCCCTCCTTGGCCTCCTCCCCTCCCTCCTCTTCCATGCTTTTCACCGTTACCCCACCTTCCTCTGTGTTGCCTTCGCTTTTTCTAAGCAAAGGAAAAATTCTAGTGATTACTCATTTCAATAATGCTCTTTTGATACTTTAAATTTTTTTCCTTTGTCTCTCTCTGTCCCTGTCCCAGGCTCTTCTCCTGTCCCTGTCTCCTCGCCTGTCTCTGTCTCTTCTCCCGTCTCTGTTTCTTCTCCCATCTCCTCACTACTCCCCATCCTCTCCCTCCTGCCCTCTTCAATGAGTTCCAACTGCCCTAAATTACAATGGCATAAAGCCTTTAATTTACACTTAAAATTAAGTTACTCG